AAAAAAATAAAAAAATTGTTCGAGACACAATGGAGCAGAGAAAGGAAGCGATAAAAGAGAAAGAAAAAAAAATCAGCTGAGCAACTCCGGAGTGAGGAGGAAAATCGGTGAAAATACCTTGAAGTCCTGGAGCTGGGGATGTGCCCAGAGCTCCTTTGTTTGAGGTCTGGGCAGAGCAGAAGGGACTGAAATCCTCAGTCCTGGGCAGAGCAGAAAAGGTAGAGCCCGATGCAGGGCAGGGGGAGGGCCCGGCCGGTGGGAGTAGCTCAGCCCAAAATTCTCCAGCCAAAAAAAAAAAAAAAAAAAAAAAAAATTAAAAAAAAAAAAAAAAAAAAATTGTGCGAGGAGGGGCTGGGGGAGAGCTCGGCTGTCACCTCGGGATTGCTCCGGGCTCCTCCTCAGGGAAACCCCAATTTTGGTTGGAGCAGCATCGTTATCCTCGGGGGGGGGTAATTAAGGGTTTGGTCTTAATTTCGGGGGAAATGGTGGTGTGGTAAAAAAAAAAAAATAAAAAAATTAAAATATCAAGTATAAAGCACTTTTCTGGCTGGTGGTTTTCCTGGTTTTTGGTGTAAGTCGTGTGAAACAATGAAGGAAATGTGGATTTTTTTTGGAGGAATAAAAGTCACCCAGGTCAGGATCTTTACACCCAAAAGTTACCTTGGCTCCAGAGGAGAAAAACTTTGGGGGTTAAGGAGCATTTTCACCAAATAAATGATTTTAAAAATAAAAGCAGGCTGGAGATATTCAGTCTCCCTTCTGAGGAAGAACTTTGTCAGTGGGGAGTTCAATTCTGCTCTTTGAAAAAAACAATAAAACAAAACAAAATAAATTCAAACGAAACAAAAAAAAAAACCAAAACCCACCCAGTTTTCCTCTGCCTCTCTCTGCAGGCCTCAGGACCGATCTTTTTCTTCAAACAGCTCAGAAAAAAAAAAAAAAAATGCACAAAAAAATCCCCAAAATCCTCTCTCTGCTCTGGGCCACCGCTCACCCACGGCTTCAAGCCCAGAATTCTCCCAAGAAATCCCAAATTCGGCCGATTTGCAGGTCCGGGGGGTTCAGGGGAGCTCCTGACCCCAAAGGGATCCAGAGGGGGATCCAAGGGTTCCCCAGGGGGCTCCATCCCCATGGGGGTCCCAGGGCAGCCCCAGCCCTGCTCCTGCTCCTGCTGCTCCCTTTGATCCCAGCCCTGGCTCTGGAAGGGTCAGGAGAAGCTTGGACTAATTAACAGCAGCCTAATTAACAGCAGCCTAATTAACAGCGACCTTGTGGGATGCCAGGGAAAAGGCAGAGCTGGGAGTGGAGTGAGCAGGGAAGGCAGCTCTGCCAGGAGACCATTCCCAGTCCTGTCCCCATTCCCAGTCCTGTCCCCATTCCCAGTCCTGTCCCCATTCCCAGTCCTGTCCCCATTCCTATTCCCAGCCCCATCCCAATCCCATTTGAATTCCTGTCCCCAATCCCAACCCTGTTCCCAATTCTATTCCCCATTCCTGTCCCCATTCCCAATCCTGTTCTCATTCCCAGTCCTGTCCCCATTTCCAATCCCATTTCTGTCCCCATTCCTATTCCCAGCCCCATCCCAATCCCATTTAAATTCCTGTCCCCAGTCCTATTCCTGTCCCCAATCCCATTGCCCATTCTTGTCCCCAATCCTATTTCCATCTCATTCCTGTTCCCATCCCTATTCCCAATCCTATTCCCATTCCTGTCCCCAATCCTATTCCCCATTCCTATTCCCATTCCTGTTCCCAATCCCATCCCATTTCCCATCTCCATTCCCAATCCCATTCCCCAATCCTGTCCCCATTCCTGTCCCCAATCCCATCCCATTTCCCATCCCCATTCCCCATTCCTGTCCCCATTCCCCATTCCTGTCCCCATTCCCCATTCCTGTCCCCATTCCATCCTGGGCTTTTCCTACCATGGGGAAAAAACAGCCAGGAAAGACCCAAAATTAACAAAATTTTCCCTGGAGGAGAAGAGAGGCCTCGAACCCAGCTTAGGCTCAGCTCAAGGAGCTGCCACAAACTGCCCAGGAAGGGTTTAACATCTTAATGAGTGGGAAAATGCTTGTAATTAATTATTATTGTTATTAATTACGTGCTGGCAGCAGAACCTTCAGAGTAATTGAGTTTTTTGCTGCCCTGGGCAGAGTGAGAAATGAAGAGAAAGGAGGAGTCATTTAGGGGATTTCATTTGGGGTGATTTGTTTTAGCTTGGCCTGAACATAGAATTTGATTTTAAATAATAGAAATTTAATTTTTAAAGGGCATTTTAATTAATTTTCAGTTATCGTATTTATTCAAGCTCCTAAAATGTTGTTCAGAAAAGGAAAAAGCTCAGCCTGTAACTTTACCATTAATGAAATCAAATATTTGCAGATGATTCATTATCTGCCCAAATTAATAAATTTATGAGTTTTCCCAGTCTGGATTCAGGAATTTTTGCCATTTCTCCTGTGCAAGCAGGTGAAACTTCGAGCAATAAATAAAGCAAATGAAGGCAGAGAAAAAAATCCAATTTCTTCATTTTGGGGAGCTCCAGGTAGCACATGGAGGTGGGAAAATCCTCTGGGAAAATGGGATGAGATCCACGTTCATTCAAATCATTGGAACCATGGAAATAACCAGGGGAGGGGGGCTTAAAATTCCTTAAAATGTTAAATTTCAACATTTCCATCTTAATGCTCAGCAAGCTCGTGGGTCTTTCTCTGGGGAGGAATTGGGAAATCAGGAATTGGGGTATCAGGAATTGGAATATTGGGAATTGAGGTATCAGGAATTGGGAAATTAGGAACTGAGAAATCAGGAATTGGGGTATCAGGAATTGGAATATTGGGAATTGAGGTATCAGGGACTGGGAAATCAGGAATTGGGATATCAGGAACTGGGATTGTCCAGAGAAGTGAAATTTGGGGTGGCCCAGTTGTGGATTTTTGGTGCCTGAAGGAGCCACAAGAAACACGGGGAGGGACTTGGGACAAGGGATGGAGGACACAGGGAATGTTCCAGGGCCAGAGAGGGGCTTTAGGTGGGATATTGGGATGGAATTCCTGGCTGGGATGGAATTCATGGCTGCCCCTGGATCCCTGGAATGTCCAAGGATGGAGAAGAGAAGCTCCAGAGAAACCTTGGAGCTGTTTCCAGAACCTAAAAGAGCTCCAGGAGAGCTGGAGAAGATTTGGGATGAGGGA